GGATAGCTGCAGGTCCCTCTGTCGCGCTAAGTCTGAGAAATTCTAAAAACGACCTGGTAAAGCAAGCAGGCATCACAACAAGATTAGGCTGCAAGTGGGTAGTCAATGCAGCCATTGAACAGGCAGAAAGCTCATTGAAGCTGCGTGACATCATTGGCAACCCCTGCAATGGACGTCAAGGCCTGGGGTCGACACATTTCCAACAGTTTGGGAATGCAAGTACTACGATCAGGCGATGCATGGTTCAGGAAGAATTTCGAGCTCAAGAGGAGCAGAGGCATTTGTCCAGAGCTGTGGATCAAGCATCCCAAGGAGCATGGACAAAATAGGATCTGCCTAAGTGTAAGATCACACGGGCAGAGTTCTGGAGACTGGAGCCCTACTATATCTCCTTTGCGTTTCACACTTTCCTTCACAGTCGCATCTGCACACATGGGGGCTGAGGGACAACTCGTACTGCAAGCACTGTGGTCAAAAGGGAACACTTGCACAAATAATGTCAGGGTGCAAATCATCTTTAACCCATGGTCGCTATAGGTGGCGCCACAACAAGGTGCTCTTGACCCTCACAGATACACTTGAGGGAGAGAGGTGCAAGAAGAGGTTAGGTGGCACAGGCAAGGAAACTATAACTTTCATCAAGGAGGGAGCCAGGCCCTTTGCAGCCAGGCCCTTTGCAACCAGGGCGTTAGCAAAATCAAACTTGCTGCAGGCCACGGGATCTTGGGAAATGAGAGTCGATGTCGGAAGAAGGCTGCAGTTCCCAAAAGTGGTCCACACAGCTCTTCGCCCAGGCATCGTCCTGTGGTCAGCCAAAGAACATAAAATCATCTTAATTGAGCTGACTGTGCCATGGGAGGAGGGCTGTGAAGAGGCTCACAAGAGGAAGGCCTTGAAGTGTCAGCCTTTAATTCAAGAGTGTAAAGACAAAGGATGGCAGGCATGGCTGTTCCCTGTGGAAATAGTTTGTAGAGGATTTCCTGCCAAGTCAGTATGGCGGCTGATGTCAGCTTTAGGCATAGACGAGAAGAGCAAGTAACATGCTGCTCACAGGATGGGAGAGGAGGCTGAGCGAGCTTCATGCTGGATATAGAGCAAGAGAGAGGAAGAAAGCTGGAAGCCAGGAGCAGATGGGCAGTGAGCTGGCGACCACTGCTGACCCACCAACTGGAGAGTGTTGTGGTTAAGGGTCGAAACACTCAAGGAAGGTTGGATACCACCTGAAGACATGTGCTTATGGCTGAAAGCTATGGTTACATAAAGGAGTAACCGAGGAAAGCACCTAACAGGTGTATTCCACAATGTCTATAAAAACTGTATTTTAGGCCTAAATTTCATGTTAAAACTGCACCAGTACCTCTACATGTGTTATTGATGCTGATGGTGAGACTTGAGTTTGTTGCAGTGAATCCATCCAGACATGAGCAATTGTAAATTCCAATTACATTTGTGCAGTTGGAATCTGGACCACATACAGATGGACTGAACAGACATTCATCTATATCTAGAGGGGGGGGGGATCATGAAACCTGAAAACATGAAATCGAAATGGTATCTCACAATATTAATCTACATCTATACAAGGAGAATAAGGATTGAGAAAGAACAACATCATTCAACAGCCATTTGTGACAGTATAAATGTAATCTGATCTAATGACTGGATTGTTCATTGCACTCTAAACTGCCATTCGACTATGAAGTCACCAAAAATGTTCGAGCGGCCATCTTACTATTCCCTAAAAGCAGAGAGCAACATTGACCGACAGCCAAAACCTTGACCTAAAATCACCCGATTTGAAGTGTATGTAAATATATGTCACGATACGCTGCCGGAAGGAACGAAGGAGCCGTGGATAAACGAAACTGTCATTTATTCAATCCAACACACAGGGTAAATCCACACTTGGAAGGGAAGGAAGACACACATACACAACTCGTAGACCCGACAAAGGAGGATCCCGGAAGGCGCGTCCCGCGCCATAACAACAACAGAAGGAGGGACAGGTGGGAACTTGGGAGGAGGCTAAGGGGGAGGACGGACAGCCGGGAGGGGGCCGGCAGACAGAGACCAGGGAGGAGACAGGAGGGACTTCAAGCATGCGGCGCCAGGTGGGACCCAGACCATAGTCCTAATGGCGACCCAAAGTGGAGCCGACGAAGGGAGGAGCCATGGAGGAGGAAGGGCTGACGACTCCAGGGGGCCAACCGACTGTGGCAGAGCAGATGGCGGAGCCCAAGGCGGAGAGCCGATGAGCCAGGACGACGGGGAGGATCCGGAGGGCCAAGGCGGAGCAGATGGCACCGGCAACCGAGGCAGAGGCAGGGCACCAGAAGGTCGCGGTGGAGGCAGATCGACAGAGGACTGAGGAGGAGTCGAAGGGGAGGAGGAGCCTGACAGAGCCGGAGGGACAGAGGGATGAGGCGCAGCCGGAGGAGTGGAGTCCCGAGGCAATGGATGGTCGACGACAGATTAAGGCGGAGCCAGAGGAACGAGGGAGCCCGGTGGATCCAGTGGACTGATGGGCCCTTGCGCAGAGGAGGGAGCTAGGAGCTGCTGGGCTCTCCAGGCTTAACTTGGGAACAGGAGCCCTCTCTGGGCTAAACTCAGGAATGGGAGGGACAGAGGTCACCGACGGAGGAGGGAGGAAATGGGGCAGGTTGGTATACAAATCAATTAAGTCTCTTTCCACTTTTCCTTTACCCAGATCCATAGACAGCTCACCCTCAGCCACGGTGCAGGGGGCGGAGCTCTTCTCCACGTACTCACTGACCATGATGCGCTCCCCCGTGGCGAGCTCTGTAGCCAGCTCTTGCATCTGGTCTGATGTCACAGGATTGGGCTCTGGGGCGATCCTCAGCACTGTAGCTTTCTCTGGCGATAGCTCGTCGGTCACAGCGGGCTCTGGCTCTCCGTCAGCGGTGGGCTTTGGCTTAAGCTCTGCACAGCGGGGTGATAGTGGGCTGGGCTCTGGGTCTGGCTGTGTTCTAGATCGGGGGTAGACACTCTCCAGACACCGGATGATAGCCTCCCTCCAGCACATAGTAGTTGGCCCGGACCCAGAACAGGGAGTTAAGCGCAGTGTCGTCGAACGCCATTAAAACGGCGAGCTGGCTGAACTCCACAGCATACTCCAAGAGGGAAAGGTCCTTGCGGGTGAGGGAGGCAAACTTGACAGCGAGGGAATTTATGGGGAAGGAAACACTACGGAAACAAAAAACACTGAATGGAAAACAGAAAACAAACGGAGGGGAAACACGTAAAAAAAACTGTCCTTGGTGGGGTCTTCTGTCACGATATGTTGCCGGAAGGAACGAAGGAGCCATGGATAAACGAAACTGTCATTTATTCAATCCAACACACAGGGTAAATCCACACTTGGAAGGGAAGGAAGGCACACATACACAACTGGTAGACCCAACAAAGGAGGAACGCACAGACTGGAACTTAATATACATGACTTAACGAGGCAATTGGGAGGAACACAGGTGAACAGAATGACTAATTAGACAGGGGAGAAACTGGGTCATGGAGCACATGGGGAGGGAAAACACCACAAAGACAGTTCAGGGGCGTGACAATATGTGTATGTAAATTAATTGTTATTTAAGATGTTATCTGCAATGTTTATGGTCTTTTCAGGCAGGATAAGCGATATATTGAAATGGTTTAGGTGGGTGTGTCTGATGCACATTCCCGACATAGGTAACTGATCCAACACAAAATATATTTCTTTATGTAAGTAATTATGCAGCAAATATATCTCGTATTAGCATCAGAAATTGATTTGAATAAAGATTACAATACAAGCCTCTGTTAATACTGATCTATACTGTATTGAAATTCAAAGCTCATCAGGTATCATCTTGAAAATAAAGCTCATGTCTTTAAAAGTCTGTACCGTATGTTGTCAGCATTATTTCTCTGAATGATGTTATGATGTGTGTATTTTTTATGTCCTGATTGAGCAACATGTACTTCAGACTCTTCAAGATCGCACAAATTCTATGGCGTTTTACTAGCATTACAGTTTCCATAGGAGTAAAATGTTATGTATGTATGCTTAATTAATTTTTAATTTAACCAACGTTTAAATCATTAACTGCTTCAAAATGCATCTTGATAATGACATCCTTGTTGAAACATTTGCAGTTATCCTACTCTACAAATAAAAACAATAAAACAACATTACATAAACAGTGAATAACTGTACAAGTTGAATTAAGGGATACAAAGCCTAAATCTTAATTCAGATTTTAGAATGAGTAGCTTGTCCTTTGTAATATATGTTGAGTTTTCTCTCATTAAATCTTACGATTTCCTATTAATTCAATAGAATATATGGGAATACTAGGGAAAACCTTCATGGAGGTACAGTGCCTTCACTTTTATGACGTCATGAGTAATCCAGTTTTCTATTATAGATCAGTGGTGTCAACATATTGTTTGTCTTTACAATCTAATGCCTTAAATCCAAGTTTATAAATTTAAAAAAAAGAAGCTTTACAATTTTGTATATCTTTACAATTCCAAACTGCATTTCCAAAAATACTTTGTCTATAAAAAAATTTGGGTAATAATGATTCACATCTATATTTTTAACTTGAGCCAATGAAAAATAAATAACTTGCCCTAAGGGCAATCATTACCCTACATTTTTTTAATTGGATGAATTAAACATTTTTTTCAGTGTATGTTTATATTTAAACTACAACATTGCCTCAAGTACCTTATTGTTTCTACATAAAAATTAAGGACACACATTTTTATTATCTTTTTAAGCAAACACTTTAAATGACATCCTTCCACCGTAAGATATACATGACACAACAAAATGTTGCAATTCAACAAAAATCACTTTCACCACTATCACGCTATAGCCATTACTATATAGTGGATTTCAGCATTACTGAACACTGTACTGAGCAATAAGAAGCCAAGACTAGAACTACCCATGTAAAAAAAGAGAGAGTATACACAGATCTGAAAACAGAATGTACCTGTACATGTGTTATTGATGCTGATGGGGAGATTTGAGTTTGTTGCAGTGAATCCATCCAGACACGAGCAATTGTAACTTCCCATTTCATTTGTGCAGTTGGCATTTGGACCACATACAGATGGACTGAACAGACATTCATTTATATCTACGAAAAGAAAATATTAGAAAAATTACTTAAAGTTATGAAATACATCTAAACAAGGAGTATATAAATTAAGTTGAAATGTCAACATTTACAATAATAGTATAGTAATAGTATATAGAAATAGTATAATAATAATAATCTGGATCCTGAGATGTTATAGTTGTAATGAGAATCTTTAAAAATCAAAGTAATGATTAAAGAGTAATGATTAATGACTAAATTATGCAATAACCAAAAGCTGTAATGCAGAATATTGTATAAATAAAAACTGACCAGTGCATGGGTTGCCTTTACTAATAGCTTTATTTCCATCTGAGACATTATATCCACCCCAACAAAAGCATGAGAAGCTTCCGTTGTAATTGTAACAGTGAGAGTTAGGGCCACACACTGATTCTGAGTCAAGACATTCATGAATATCTGAAATACAATTTAATTTAATAAATTGAAAGGTTACAGTTGAAGGGCGATTCACGCAGAACAAATAGTAACAAACTGTTCATTGCTTCATACCTTTGCATGTGTTATTGCTGTTTATAGGGAGGTTTGGGTCTGTTAAATTATATCCACTCATGCACGAGCAGTTGTGACTTCCAACAGTGTTGTTGCAGATTGAGTTTGGACCACAGACGTCTGATATCTCAACACATTCATCCACATCTATATTAAAAGAAAGTTACAGGGGAAAAAAAGAGTTTGGATCATATGTAGAGGTTAAAAAAAACTGAAACTATGATGTTGTGTAACATTACAAAGGCAATGACTAACTTCTTGCATGGTGTCTTCACAAACAAATTTCATGGTTTTTCTAGCGAATAAGTGACTTGATAATGTTTCTTTGAAGACGATACTAGCCAGTTTTGGTAAAGATCATAGGTAAAGCATTGAAAAAAACTTTACAAGAAACCATTCGAAATGACAGAAATGTCAAGTAAGGTAAATCAATCAAAGAAAATTAATGATTGTAGTATTTTATAAGTCTGAGTTTAATTACATTAGAACTGAACAAATACAAAATGTGAAGAGTTTGTCAACTAATTTATCCTTTAAAATGTATGGTAGTGTAGCAAAATTAGAGGTTAGAAAAAGGTCAGAGAACATAAAGATCTGACTTAAGAATGTACCTCTACATGTGTTATTGATGCCGATAGTAAGACCTGAAACTGTTTCAGTGAATCCATCCAGACATGAGCAATTGTAACTTCCCATTCCATTTGTGCAGTTGGAATCTGGACCACATACAGACGGACTGAACAAACATTCATTTATATCTATGGAAGGAACAGGTGAAAAAAAAATTATTTTTATTTTTACAGTTTATAAATTAGTCAAAGATCTGACAAGAAAAACATCTGGAATCTAAAGACATTTATTCACATTATAGAATACACAAGAAGATAGAAAAGTGAAAAATTAATCATTTGCTGGGTGATGTTCCACCTCAAGCAGGAACAACTAAAACTCACAGAAGTATTCAAACAAACAAACAAAGATAAAGCAGCTCTGTACACTCAATTTAATGAGATAAAAACAGAACACAAAATGAGATAATTATATTTACCATGACATGAGTTGTCACGGCTGACAGGACCGTCTTTATTGGAGAAATTAAATCCACTCCAGCATGAACACATGTGACTCCCAATGATGTTAATACAATCTGAGTATTGACCACACACTGACACTGCATCTTCACATTCATTGATGTCTGGAAAAAAAAATTACAGGTTTCCAAACAACCAAACATGTCAAGTGTCGCTGACTAAACTCACGCTGGTCATGTTACTACAATTACAATCAGTACATTTATGATTTAATGTGATTTCTCACCTCTCTGGCAAAGCGGACCCTCTGAAGGGAGAGCTTGAATACATCCACAAGTGCCTCCCACAATACCATCACACACCTGATAGGCCCTGCAGGTGTCATTGGGCCAAACGTGATTCTCCTCACACTTGCACTCATATTCTGTTCCATTTAACCCACACACTGTAATAGAATGGGATTCATTTATCAATGTTCAAACTGTCAGTTTCTCCTAATACTGAACTCATCTTATGTGACATGATAAAACATTCTGATCTCACCAGTATTCATGTCAATATCTGTGATATTAATGCTGTTGCTCAGAGTCAAAGGCAGGTTGATATGTCTGATGAGATTCCGAAAGTAGTCCACCAAGAACAAGTCAAAGAATCTCACATCAATGTCAATCACGTACTTAGAAGGTAGAACTGCAAGAATAAACAGAAGCAGGTAAACATGAACAATCAGCATGATTACATTCTTATAATGAAAAAAAAGTAATCGTTCCAGTAATTTCAAATAAGAAATAAATTATTTCTCAGATATAATATACCACAAAGCCTGAGGTTAATGTTTAAAGTATCTTACTGTTAACATTTCAACAAAACTTCATGTAATAGACCATGTACTTTATATAGAGTTATTTGCAACCAAAAAACAAGCAAATAATCAACGTACTTAGAAGGTAGAACTGCAAGAATAAACAGAAGCAGGTTGAGCAGAACAATCAGCATGATTACATTCTTATAATGAAAAAAAGTAATCGTTCCAGTAATTTCAAATAAGAAATAAATTCTTTCTCAGATATAATATACCACAAAGCCTGAGGTTAATGTTTAAA